AGCCGCCGGGCGCTGCAGGGTGAGGACGAGACGGAGGATCTTCGGGAACAGGCTCCAAGTGGTGGTAGGAGGCTCTTGCGGGGGAGAGTCAAACTTAAATATGGTTCTGTGATACCGGCAGATACAGGATCTGCAAAGTTAAACGGTGGCTGTGGCCACGGCTCACCCGGCAATAAGCCACTACACAGAATCATTATGGTTGGAAAAGATCTCCAGGCTTCTCAAGTCCAACCCTAAAGGTACAGGCGAAGAAAAAGCAGTTGTCAGGCCTCCCTCAGGCTCACCAGCACCTGCAGCAGGCCTGCACAAAGTCAACATCTCAGCCTGATGCTCCCATTCCTGCCATGAATTTCTTTCCCACATATTCCAGCTTCACATCGGTAAGCGATACATTGCTCTGAAAGTGTTTTATCTTGACGCTTTTGACAACTGCCTCCCTAAATACCTGAACCTGCATCAAGCCTGCTGGGGGGAAGCAGCTGTGAGTAGTTCAGCATTGTAATGTAATGTAATCCTGGGTGCGAGGCAGGTTACCTGTCCTGGGACACCCTCCAACGCAAGCCAGGGCAGGACACCTGCACATGGGCATTCCAGGGAAGGAAAAGCTACAAGGGAGGCAAAAAGCTTCCAGTGGAATAAAGGCAGCACCTTTCAACATTGTGTAGTACACTGCACAGCACAGATTGTGTGAAATTTTTCTCAAAACATTCAATTTTTTCTTTTTGCAGGATGAGAGACCTGCTGGGGAAAACTCTGATGTTACAGCTGTTTGCCTGTTCACAGTCTGCTCATACAGGCTTGTGAAGGGGAGAACCACAAAAAAAAAAAGGTCTATAGTTTCTTCTAACTTTTCTATCAAAGTAACATTATTTTAACATATTTTGCTACAGGAGAAGAGTAGTTGAGAACTTTTATCATTTATCTTGTCTTCACTATGCTTATAATTTTTTTTTTTAAATGAATGGTGGAGAGGAAGAAGTCAAGTTAAGCTCACAGGTCTACGATTCCTCATCTCTACCTTTCCCTTCTTTTCAAAGATACAGCCTCTGTTTTCAGTATTCTAGTAGTTTGTGCTCTAAACCGCAAGAGAACTGTAATAATTCTAGGATCATGCATAGGATTCAAGGATTGATTTCACCTTTCCTAGTTATGTGCAAACATCTAGATACTCTCTAAGCCATTCTTTCAAAACTCTAGCCAGTTTCTCTCCTCGCCAATGTTTCTCTCCTTGGTCACCAGCATTGCATGCACACATCCTGAGTATGAAGGAATGGAGTAGTCTACACTCACTCCCACTTTCTACCTGCTCCTTGTGTTTAGCTTGGAAGTCAATTAAAAGCTTGCACTTCAACTTGTTTTCAGTCTTCTCTTATATTTTGTTATTTGTCTTCCAAATCTTTCTTTGCTTTTGGTATGCTCCAAGAAGAAAGATGTGATTTAGGGCCAAACAGCAAGCAAGGTTGACTTCTAGTCATTCACTGTGCCAACAAACAGAAGAAAGGATCCAGATGTTAAACCTCAGGAGATCATAGTATGGAAGGTGTGCTTGTCCAGAAGGGCAACAGCTGGAACATCACCCCACACTTCTGTATGTCTGCTGAGCAGCTCTGTATCCGTTAACAGTTTTCCCAAGGAAGTTTTGCCAGTGAAATGCTGTGGGAAGTAAACAGTGTTACTGCTTGGCATCTCTCCTTGGACCTCTAAACCCTAAGCATGGCTGGTAAAAGTGGACATAATTAGCAGGCACACTGAAGAGCTACTCTATAACTAGGAGAAGCATTATTCTTTTCTACAGTATGTAGAAACGCTGACATAATAAAATAAATGTATTGAGCAAAATGAAGGAAGCAAAAAAGCACAGCAAGATGGAAGAGATACACAACATAATTTGCAGTCCTAGGTGACCAGAGTATTTCCTCCCCCCTCCCCTCCCTCCAGCCACTCTACTTCCACAAAAGGGCCTTACACCAATGCGTGGATATTTCATGAACATTTTGTAGAATTCACAGACACGCTAGAGAGCACATACTCATTAACAAATTTCCAAGACCGCATGTAGAAAATAGATATTAAAAGGAAACCTCACGATATACTAGCTCTTCCACAAGAAAAAAAAAACTTACATTCCTATTTTAAGGAAGTTGCCTGGCCCACAGATCAGATATTTATTCATTCTTTAAATCCTAAAAAAAAAAAAAAAAAAAAAAAAAAAAAACCCCCCATGCACTCTTAATTTTTTTAGCTCCTTCATTTACCTGTGTTTTTAAATGAGCTCTTTCTTTAGAAGAAGAAGAAAATAAAGATGTGTGATTGTACCTGTTGAATTACTGTTAGGGTAGCTACTTCTAACACAGGGCTGAAGAGTTGAATGTATTGAACACACAAGTCTTTCAAATAAATTAAAAACAGTCAAACACTAAAATGGTTTAAAGCAATCAAAACATTAAGCAAACAGAGCCATTAAAATTAGACAGTTTGGGTTCTCTTGAAAATTTTAACTTAACTAGGAAAAAGATACTTGTCTCAGCAGTTGCACCAAGGAAGATAAATGCAGAAATGTGTTTATATTTTCTTCCTTAAACAGGAGAAACATAAAAACAAGTACATAGAAATGACGAAATAAATTACAGACCAGAAGGATTTCCCCCATCCCATTCCCACTGTTGCAGAGCAGTCTTTTCCATTAACAGCTGTGTCAAAAGTACCGGCCACTGAAAACAGAACTAGGCAATCCTCGATAGGATGAGGGAAGTCTTGCTCAGACTTCTATGGATAACTGATTTGCTGTGAGGGTAGTATGTACCACAGTTCAAAGGTAGTATTTTGTAAACAGTAAAACAAAATGCTTCCCTCTGTGCCTTGTGGTTGCCTACAAATGCTGCTTTTGCACTCTATCGACAGGGCACTTCATTAATTCACTTAGCAGCCTTTCTGAAGAGACCAAGGTTCATCTCTGCCAGTGGCAAGAACTAAATGTGCAACTAAGTCATTGCTAATAATTTCTGGATTTGCTGCTTCCCATTTCTAAAACACTTTATGCAAAAGCCAGAAGAAGAAACAAACTAAAGATGCTACCTGAAAACAGCACTAGCTGGGAACTTCTAGAGGATTAAATCTCCATCCCTACCTAATAGAGAAGCAGCAGCATTCTCACTTCACTTCCCAGCAGCCAGCTAACAATGCATTCAAGCACTGAAGGCTGGCAGAGT